TGATTTATAAAAATTAATAACATCTATTTTTATTTTCTGAAATTTAAAATGCAATTATTCAAAACGAATTGTTATTATATAGTTTACGCTTATTTAGTAACAACTCAAACATTTCTTTTAAGTTTGACATCGAAACAAATTAGATTTGAATTAGTTTATATTAGATTTGTCAAACTATTATGTTTGACTTGTTTATTATTATTACAAAAAAATAAACACTAGTGGCTATTATCTATTAAATTCCCTTGCAACTGCAATTCGCAGTTCCTTAAACTCTCTTTATATGAACAGACATAGAGAAACAATATTGTTTATGTTCAAAAGTAACAATTTACACAAAATTTAGTAAAATTATGTAGGTATAAAACACCCGAATTAAACCTATCTATTTGTTCAAAAAATTAAACCACTCGCGGTAAAAAGACACGCGGTATTAAACCTCGCAAATAAACAATGGTTTAATTCATTTATGGTTTTACACAAAATAGAGAAGGCCTATTTCGTACAAAACTTATGTTAATTAATTTTATTTCGAAAAACAGTTAAAAAAATCTATTAAATTAATAATGATTAAAAATGTTATTCTTGATAAATGGTCACATTTTAATTGTACTTTACGCTACACTAATTATTTTTTTTTTGTAAAGTGGTTAGTTTACGAAAAAAACGCTTGGTTCCATACTTTTTATTCACCTGGTATAGATAGCTATTTTGTTTATGTATTGCAATCGAAAAGTTAAAAAAAATTAAAAAGTTTAAGATATTAGAAATTTCTTAATAAAGAAATGGTTTTTTAAGTTTCTAAAAATTCCTAAGTTGGAACAATTTATAGTTTTTTTAACATTCTAAAAGTAAGTAAAATCATAAACGTGCACCAAATTTTGGGTTAAAAAAGTCCAACAAAAATAAAAACAATGGTTCACGAATAATATGTATAGGCTATGCATATACACACAAATATTTAAAAAAAAATCCAAAAATTATTTAAAAATTATAAGCACATGTTGCCGATTAGGGAGGTATATAGCCCCCTTGGTCCTCCCCTATGAGTAAAGCTAACTATATTAAATTCCTGTAATTTCTTTGATAAAATCGAGATATGCAACAACGTTAGTGTAGACTCCAGGATAATTAGTTTTTGCACATCCTTCGCCCCAGGAAACAACACCAGCAAGGACATCACCGACGACTAATGGACCACCAGAATCTCCTTGGCAAGAATCTTTGCCATCTTCACCAGCGCACATCATAGTACTGTTAGTATACTCTTCGCCGTATGCTTTTGTGCACTCCGCGTCATCGAGGATTTGGAGAGTAACACCTCTTAGTACCGTAGACTCTGTGTCTTCCTCATCATCTATGACCCCAAATCCTGAAACAAAAGCAGAAGTACCAGGTTCCCATACTGTATCAGAAGATGGAAGAGAGACTGGAGATACTTTAGATCCAAATTCTAGAGAATCTTTCAACTCCAAAATAGCAAAATCGTTGTCACGAGTAGTAAACTTGAAGTCAGGATGTCCATAAACTTTTTTCACATAGACTATTTGACCTCCAGATTCTTTATTACTAGAACCGGCTGAAATTAATGCATTATACGAAAACGAAATCAAATTTAAAATTCCACTAACACTGTGGCGGAGTGAGCTGCAGTGATAACATATTTTTCACTTATTATTATCCACTGAAAAACCCATAGCCTTCAAGTTCAACGGCTACTTGCCAAGGTACTTCAGAAATATCGATTTCATCACCACCTACAATTCTATCGTCCGAAAAAACCGATGAAACTAAAAACAATATATACTATTTTTGTGTTTTAATACCAAAATTACAAGAAAAGATTGTTGTAAGGAAAACAGCAAACAGAAATGACTTCATTTTTTTAATGTTGGTCTCCGGCAACTAAAGGACTGCAGTAAATGGACCACGTCCAAAAGCTTTAAATTGTAAAATTATGTACATCAATGCAGTATAATACATATAAATATTAGAAAAGATTTTTCATTTTCCGAGATTCAACCGTGTAATGTATATAATGTTTTTCGCATAATCGAAATAAAGAAGAAAATATAACAACACGATTATACGAAAAATGTTTCTTTAATTATCATATCAGTAGTTTATTTTGAAACTGTTCTAACGCAAATTATATATTGCGATTTTCTCTCTTTATACCTATTCCAAGTTTTATTAAATTAAAATTAAATATTGGAAGATTTTCAAGTTTCTGTACAACTAATACAAGTATCTGAAATACAGTTTTTGCGGACGAATCGTTGCTGAGTCCGCAAAAACGTTTTAGGTACGTGTTAAAAACAACATTTTGTGTTAAAGCTCCCAAAAAACGCAACCGGAATCTATAAAAATTTCGAAATGATGCGGGTTAAAAAAATTTTTTTAATACAATACGGAAGCGTACACAAAAAATTGAATTTAAAATTTTATTTTTTTACAGTTTTTTAAACCCTATCTTAATCTTTATATCTACAACTAAAGCAACAGATATACAGGATGTTTCAAAACTCGCCCCTAGGAAACAAGTAAGAAAAACATGTTAAAAAATTCTATCTGTTAAAATTTCGAAATTATGGGGCTCTAAATTTTGCTCTTTGATCCTATTTATTTCTGTTGGAAAAATAATATTTCATGTTTTTTTGCTGTAGGCTATTGGATGAGGAAACAAAGAAGCTGTATTCTGAATTGTAACAATGTTTAAAATTATTTGTGGCTTTTATTGGCAAAAGTTTCTGTCCCATTACTGAATAATTATAAAAAAAACATATACAAGATCATCGGTAACATTAAATAAACATAAAAAAGTCAAATGTCAAAATTTTAATTAAGTTTTTTAAAATTTTGTTTTTCTTTTTTTCAATTTTTATATCTACAACTAGTGCCATTGAGATAAGGTAAGAGTGATAAAAGTAACCTGAGTGTTTGTCTCCCGAAAAAGGTCGTTTCAGAATTATTGCAGTTTTTTTTACTTACTTATTTGAAAAAATGCACAGTATAAAATTATTGTATGACAAAAAGTGTGCAGCTTACATGTATTCATACCATTTTTATTAAGTACATACTTACGTCACACCCTTATTTTTTTAATAAAAAAGTGGCTAATGAGGCTTATTTATCTTTAGAGTTTATTGTCATTTTTATAATTTTATGCAACTTTAGATATTGTTTGTTCGTTTTCGATGTTAATAAGTAACAAGGAATGTGAAAATGTGCAAATGGCCTTTTGTAGACAATAGTAGATACTCCTATATAATTATTCACTGTATCGAGCTTGTAAAAATATCGAAAAATGCAAACGGTATCTAAAATAATGTAAAATAGTTGAAAATAATAATAAACTCTAAATATAAATACGCTTCATTAGCCAATCCTTTAATAAACACAAATTGGTTTTTTACGTAAGTACTTTTAAAATTTACGGATTACGATATATCCATCATGAAATTAAAAATGTTTTGACTTTTGTTTCATCTGTAGCTCCAGTCTCGCTCCCACCTTCAAACATAAAATGAAATCCTGGCACTTTGGTTCTTATTACCGGTTGGGGAAAAACGTACGAAAAAAGTCAGCAACTTTCTTATTGCCTACAAAGCGTTTTTGTTGAAATTAGCAGCGAACAGTATTGTAAAAAAAATACGGAGAATACTATACTACTACTAGACTATTACTAGCAACATACTAATAAAGTAATAAAAGAAGTGATCGAATTTTTCTATGTTCCGAATATCTTATCTTACTTGAAATTTTTTGCTGGTGGGTTCTGAAACACCCTGTGGATACATATTACAATACCAGCAGTAAATGGAAATCTAATTATACAGTGAGCAGCAAAATTATGGTATAATCTTATTTATTAAAACTGAAAATATTATGTTTTGACAAGAATGCTCGAACAGGACAATTTTCTTTTTAAAAAATATAAAATTCTCAACTTGATTTAAAAATGTATATTTGAGTGATAATAAGCCTGACCCCATTTGAACTGCAGCCAGCAATACATTTGCATAGGCTTCATGGATTTTGATTGTGAATTTTAAAATTAATAACACATAAAGTCTGTTTTTTTTTTAAATGGAAATGCCAAACAGTTTTAATGTTGGCATCATTAGTAAATTCATCCATGGTAATTTTAATAAAGGAAGATGGCAGTTCCGGTTTTTTGAATTAATTTGAAAACAATGTCATTAAACGTCAACACAAAAAATCGTCTAAGAAAATTTAGAGACGAAACACTAAAAAAAGGAACAAATTTGGTACCTAACAGTTTTTCGAAATTTGGAAACGAATAGTTCGCAAGCAGGAAGTTACAAAAAGGGCCCGTTAAAATGTAGACGCAATTTGTAATGCAGGTTTGCTAAACATTCTTAATTTTTAGCAAAAAATTGGCAAGAATACAAAATAAACATGAATGAGAAAGAACCTCGGGAAGAACGCAATTAAATTAGTGTCTTGTGCATCGTTTTTGAGGAACGAGTTGAAAAAGTAACATTTTTGAAACTAAAGCTGAAGAAGAATTTATAAAATGCATCAACTTTGAGCTCATTTCAAACAATTACACAAAATTTATTGCCAATTATCATAATACCTACTTGTATCTTTTGCTAAATAACTTTTTTCTGTAAATACATCTTTTTTTTCAAAGTTTTTGTAGCAAGAATCTCATTTTTGTCCACAACATTGTACTTACTTGTGGTGTGTTTGTGTCAAAATTATTAGCACTGAATTCTGTCTTTAGACCTTAGGTAATGATGTCTGTCCTCAGATATTCAATTATTGCGCTTTCAAAGAGCACACAAGATTCATAAAAGTCAAAATTTTGACAACTTCTCAATTTGAACACATAACCATAATTTTTTAACAAAATTTCTAGGGACAAAAACAAAGAGCAAACAAAATTTGTGGCTATGGAGACAAGCTGCTACCAATTTTTTCACCAAAATTTTGACTTGGTAATTTCCATTTAAAAAAAACAAACAAACTTTAGTTATCGCGTAACTGACACAAAGAAATTGACAAGACAGGAAACACAGTTTTTAAGGTTATTGTCTATCTACCATTGGAAAACACTTTCAAGCCTTTTTGGAGCTTTTCTATACAGGAAACATTGTCTTTACAAAGCTTCAACCGCAGAAGCATTTTTCCCAAATTCGCCATAAATGAGAATCAGATGTTTTCTCATCGTTGGAAATTTTGCTAATCTCAGTTGTGACATGGTTGTGGCAAATAAAATTATCGAGGCAAGGCTATTGTGGATTCATAATTCGGTTTTTCAAACAATGCGATATCTAAAATATCCACGTTAATTTTGCAAATGTATTGTGGATTGTATTTTCAATTCCGTCAGGCTCATTACTACATACTTGTGAAACACCTACTATATTGGGTTTTCATTTCAAATCTCTATAACTTTTTATATTGAGTAAATAGATTTTCAAGCGATGAGGATCGCGAGAGGGAAGTTCAAAACTATAATTTAAGACATTTTAGGTTTCATACCATTGCTATCCTTATTTTGAGTACGTATTTCTTCTAAAACTTATTTTCTTATAAAATAATTTGTACAAGGCTTTAATTATCAAATTTACTGAAAACTTGGTGGATCAGATTTTGAAAATCTGGTGCGCAATTTTTTCTAGTGATAAATAATTTTCATTACGATGCACTTTTAATGCAAACATAAAAATAACAAGACCCATTGAATTGTCAAGATAATATATGCTGTTTTTTAACATTTCGTTTGTATAGTAAAAAAAAATGCCCACAAAATTGTAATAAAAACCGACTATCTCGCAAGTAGTGTGACTTGTCAAGATGAAGTCGTTTTTATTAGTTCCCTTTCTGGTAGCAAGCATTTCTGGTAAGTTTTGTTTTGCTTTTTGTAAAAGAAAGTATATAGATGATTTTATTTTTAGCATTTCCGTCCGATTTTCAAAAGAATGACTCGCGAATTGATAATAGAATCGTAGGTGGGAGATGGATGTCCATCTATGATGTTCCCTGGCAAGTCTCTGTCCAATACAACAAAGCCCATATATGTGGAGGTTCTATAATAAGTGACAAATATATTGTCACCGCTGCTCATTGCACCGATGGGTTGGTGAAACTTTAATTTAACCCAAATAATTCTCTCTTTTCTTTAAGATTCTCTCCAAATTTATTTTCTGTCCGTGTTGGAACCAGTTTTCACGAGTTTGGTATAAACTACAAAGTATCAAGTATATATCAACATCCTAAGTATTTTCACTGGATTATGGGTTACGATATTTCCATCATCAAATTGAAAACTGTTTTGACTTTTGGCTTAAGTGTAGCTCCAGTCTCGCTCCCACCTTCAAACACCAAGTGGAATCCTGGCACTTTGGTTCTTATTACCGGTTGGGGGAAAACGCACGAACTAAGTCAGCTATCTTCTTATTTCCTACAAGGCGTTTCTGTTGAAATTAGCAGCGAAGAGTATTGCAAAAAAATTTACGGTGAATACTATATTACTAATCGTGTGTTGTGTGCTGGTGTTCCTGAAGGTGGCAAGAGTGCTTGCCAAGGCGATTCTGGTGGACCTTTGGTTGTCGGAAATGTCCTTGCAGGTATTGTTTCATGGGGTGTTGGATGTGCAAGACCTGGTTTTCCCGGAGTTTACACTAACGTTTCTGCAGTTCGGGATTTCATTGAGCAAATCACAGGAATATAATTTTGCAAGAAAATCCAATCCAGATGTAACAAACTAGTAAAGTAATAAAAGTAGTGATGAAATTTTTTAAACATTTTTTCCGTGTTCCGAGTATCTTATCTTACTTGGAATTTTTTTCTGGGGCAAGGGTTCTGAAACATACAAGTTACAATGCATATACAATAACACTTTTTTCAAAAAATCCAAAAACGGCATTAAACGTTGAGGTAATATGTGGGGTCCAATTTGGTGATCTTCAATGATCGCTGCCCAAACATTTAGTGAAAATCGGTCTTGGAAGTGCGATGTCCGTACACTAGTTAATTTGGGTTTGAGTAGTTGGCCATAATGACTTGATTGACAATTTGATTCAAATCGATGTGCACAATTCACCCGAAAGCGGATTAACGACTAACTAAACTGACACGTGTAAACAAGTGATATTTTTTTGGACAAAAAGTGTCCTTTTTTCTGTATAAAAACTTTCACTGTCAACATTCAATGTAATTTATTTTCATTGATATTTTTGCTTCCAACTAACAAGGACAGACACACTGAACGGCTCGTGAAAATCACAGGGGGGAAATTGCAAAAATAAAATTTGGATACGGAATTTGTTTGGTCTTCAATTCGACTTTTCATAACACATTCTCTTAGTGGTTAAAATATTTGCTCGCAATCCACAAGCACCCTGTACAGTGAGCAGCAAAATTATGGAAAAATTTTATTTAGTAAAACTGAAAATATTTTGTTTTGACAACAGTTTTCTTTTAAAATATACAAAATTCTTAACTTAATTTAAAATTGTTTGTTTTTTGTTGATATTATTTCACTTTTTTGGTGATTTTTTTTCGAAAACTGTATGTAATATTTAATATTTTGGTGTTGTCATTTCGACAATTAAAAGATCTATCGAATTGATTAAAAAAACTAGGGGTTTCCATTGAAAAAAATATCGATGACATCATTACTCAAAAACCAAAAAGTGTAAAATTTTAAATCAACTTGAAAATTGTGACCTGACCCGTACGAGCATTTTTGCCAAAACAAAATATTTTCATTTTTAATAAGATTATTCTATAATTTTGCCGCTCACTGTTATACATCATTAAACGTAGATAAAAAATAGTCTATAAATAAAAAACATCAAAATTCAGGACTTTCAGGACTCGACTTTGGTTTTGATTTTGATTGGCGTCAGAATTGCTAGCCAGATTAAGTAAAATAGGAAGTTGTGGATAAATAAACAATATGAAGAATTATCTTTGTAATTTATTAAATAAAGAAATTTGTGAAGAAATTAAGTTACTTTTATGAAAATTCCTGAAATATTGTACTACATTACTATTACTATTATAAAATACTACTTACTATTATAAAATATAATACTCCTATATGAATATTCACTGTATCGAGCTTCTTAAATATAGAAAAACACAAACGATATTTAAAGTAATGTAAAATTATTGAAAATAATAATAAACTCTAGAGATAAATACGCTTCATTAGCCAGCCAATCCTTTATTATTATTAAACACAAATTGGTGTTTTACGTAAGTACTTTTAAAATTGTAGATACGTAAATGTATGTACCTTGCACACTTATTATGATAAAATAGTTTTATTCCATGTAATGTCCCAAGTAGGTAAGTGACAAACTGCAATATCACTTCTTCTTGCCCATTTAGCAAACTCCCACCATTTTACTATGTTTTTGATAAACGACAAAAAACTTTCTAAATTTTAGATCTTTTTAAGTGTCTAACTAAAAACATATTCTAGGAAGATATATCTTTATGATGAACCAAATATTTTTTGAGAAAATCTCAAAATATCCATTTTGTGGATGTTTTTTGAGAATTCACAGACTGTTTTCACAAAAAATACATTTGCCAACAGATTAATAACATAATATTGGGAATTATATTCTAACTTACCACTTACTCAACTACCAAAAAAATGACATTATTTTCGTTACTTTTCTTTCTTATAGCAAGCTTTTCTGGTAATTTTTTTAAACGTACTGAAACACAAAATACAGTGTTGGTTCTAGTTTCATCGGTTTCCTGTAACCCACAAGAAAACAACTTTCTAGTGAAAAACAGAATAGTAGGTGGGGATGAGGTTGACATCTCTGAAGTTCCTTGGCAAGTGGCTCTTCAAAATAATGGTAACCATTTCTGTGGTGGTTCTATAATAAGTGAAAAATATGTTGTCACTGCCGCTCATTGCACCGATGAGTTAGTAGAACTTTTGATTTGATTTCTATTTCGTGTTGTGCGTTTATTTCAGAATCCTTTTGGAAAATATAGCAACTCAAGTCGGTTCCAGTTTTAAACAGTCTTCAGGTCAAATAGTCGGCGTGAAAAACATCTATCAACATCCTAACTACATTTCCTCGACTAACGATTTCGACATTTCTATTTTGGAATTAGAAAGTCCTTTAGAATTCGGATCTGAAATATCTCCAGTCTCTCTTCCATCTTCTGACAAAGTATGGGAAGTTGGTACTTCTGCTTTTGTTACAGGATGGGGGCTTACATCTGAGGATGGTTCAACTTCTTCGCAACTACGAGGTGCTACTGTTCACATAATCAGTAAATCGGATTGCATAGTTGCATATGACCAAAATCTTATTACAAGTCGTATGTTATGCGCTGATAATCCTAAACGTGGCAAGGATGCTTGTCAAGGAGATTCTGGGGGTCCAATGGTTGTTGGTGATGTTCTTGCAGGTATTGTTTCCTGGGGTGAAGGATGTGCAAGACCTGATGCTCCCGGAGTTTATACTGACGTTGCTGTACTTCGCGATTTTATCAAGGAAAATACAGGAATTTGAAATTGTAAAATGAAAAAATAAAGATTGAAATAATCACAATCATGTATTAGAATTAAAAAAATAGAGCTCTATGTTTAAAAAGTATTAAAAAAAGTTCTACGCCTTTAGAGAAAACAATCTTTAAAAATAATAAAAATAGTTAAGTTTTTGAAAAACGAAACGAAAGTGTTAAGAAATGTAAAACTTGAAGAAATTATTAATCCACTACCTCAAATTTGAAAAACATCTTTTTGAACAAACTAAGTAAAATAAAATACTAACATTGTCTTTGTCAAGATGTCTTTAACTACAACTTTTACAACATTTCTTGCGTTATTCATTAATTATTTTGCTATCAAATATTACAAAAATTATTTGAGATAAAAAAATAAACAAAACCATCTTAAAGCAAATTTTATAGGCATTGATTTTGTAGAAAACATTTTTTTGTAAAAATAGCACCTTAGTGCTAGTTTTCTAGTCCCACTCATAATCCATAATAAGTAAATCTGGTGATACACTCTATTAATTTTTCGTCTAAATCCACCGTTTCAATAGTTTTATTCTAAAGTAAAACTACCACACACATTTAAGAACAAAACCGCGTCACTACATTGTTTATTAGTGTAATATTTGTTAAAATGGCGAAGAAAACGACTGACTCAATCAAATAACCATTTTTTTTACTTTTTCAAGAAAATTAAAGATGGGGTTGTGAATAAAGTAGTTATAAATTTCAGTGGAGAGTCTCATTTCTGTTGAGATATTAGAACTTATTCTCGAAACTTTCTATATTTCCCTTGGTATGTAATATACTATTCATTACTCTATTGTAAATAACTATCAGGTAATTTAGTATTAATTTTGACATTTACTCCCCAGCAGCCCCCAATTTTGAAAATTTTTTTTGTGTCGCAAAAACAGATCATTGAAAGGCATAATTTGTTTACGAATAAATCAAATTTAATGTTTTAATTATTAATTTGTTTAATCGCATATGAGAGCACTTTTTGACTTAAATATAACAATAATTATAAATCACAAATTAAATAATGAAGCTCAGGTTTTTAATCACCAATTGTTTGTCATGGTTACTAATCACAAGTTATCAAATGTATCATCCACGTGCGTACAGTCTGTGCCATTAGTAATGTGACTTTGCCAAAATCAATAATAACACCGAGCAAATTACAACTTGTTTTATTTATAACAATCGATACCAAAGTCTAATTAATTTTTTACGCAAAAACACTTTGATAACATTTTGAAAGCCAACGGCGCTTAAGTAATTTGGCAAACTTGCAGAAAAAACTAATTAACAAATAATATTTTGTTTACCAGTTCAGTATTCTGAGTTTCAAAAACCCATGGTAATTAATTAATATTGATTAGTCGATAAATCATTACGACAAATGGAGAATTTCAAAATATCCATTTTTTGTTTTCAAACGAAAGAAGTGAAGATTATTGATGTTAAATCGCGGCTAACACGATCTAGTTGAAGCATTACGATTGAAGTAAACAACTGTATTGATTATTTTATCCTAATTATTTTATAAGGCAGTGACCTCAAGAATTTACACTTTATATTGTCATTAGTGCATTATGCGTGTGTTAGAATTCCATGTTGGAAAACATTTTTACATTTTCTTGCAATGTAACGTATGCATAGACAACCCATTATACAGAATGGTGGAGGGGGAAACACGCAAATACTCACAGCGGTCTTCGAGAGGAGAAAATATTGACCAACTCACCTGAAACAAAAAAAGACATTAATTTCAGTAAATACACGAAGAAAAAGTTATTAAAATTTTCTAAAATAGTGACAGACTGTCAACTGTCAACTTTCAAGGGTAATATGATTTTTAGAAAATGATGATCAAAAAACGACTACGAGTATAGCACAGTTTTGTTTTTAATAGAATGACCCTTTTTCTCAATTGTAATGCAAAAAAAACATAGATTTTTATAAGAATTCATAGGTAAACAACACAAAACGACGACAAATATTCAACTACAAAGTGATCTACAATGAAATGTTGAAATGAGATAGCAATCTGGTACGTCTTTCGAATTATTAATTGATCCACACGCATAAATAAAAAACAGACTTTACATAGTTCAGTTCGTATATACAGAGTGCGCCAGAACTCGCGCCCCAGAGAAAAATGCTATAGAAGGTAAGATTTCAGGAACATGGAAAAAATGTTAAAAAAATTTTATCTATAAAAATTTCGAAGTTATGAGGGTTTAAAATTTGCAACTTTGACTCTATTTATTTCTATTGAAAATATTTTCCAAGTTTTTTTGCTATAGGCTATTAAAAAACATCACTTTAATTTCATTATTAGGGGAATAGTTTATCCAAAAATGATTTTCGATACACAGGTCATTAATTCCAATTTAATAAATTATTTTATATTTTAATCAATGGAAAAACATACATAAAACGATAAAAACCTATGTAATAATTGGGAGAAACATGCAAACATATCTACATTCCCAAATTTTTTATTTTCAATAATCTCACGCCTCAAACATTAATAGTATATTATGTAACTAGTGCTATAAATGCCACTTTAGACATGAGTGCTTAATAAAACGAATGTTTATAAAGAAGTTTATACACGTGTTACATACTATACTTTTTCTACGACCACCACAAAAAATACCGAACTTAAAAATTAAATTAAATAACAAAGCTAACTTCAGTCCGTGACTAATAGAACTTAAAAGATGATAATACGATAAAGTTTTACAAACTCTTAAGTTGAAACAATTTATAGTTTTTTTTACATTTTATGCACAGAATTTTGGATTAAAAGGATCCAACAAAAATGAAAACAATGGTTGTATTTATAACAACATACTATGCATCTACACACAAATATTTTTAAACCTTTAATAGACATAAACAAAAAAAATCAAAACTTTTTTTAAAATTATAAGCCCACGTTGCCAATAAGAGAGGTATAGGCCCCTTGGTTTTCCCCTATGAGTAAAGCTAACTATATTAAATTCCTGTTTTTTCTTTGATGTAATCGCGAAGTAGAGCAACATTAATGTAAAGTCCGGGAGTATTTTTTTTCCCACATCCATCGCCCCCGGAAACAACACCAGCAAGGACATCACCAACGACTAATGGACCACCAGAATCTCCTTGGCAAGAATCTTTGCCACCTTCAGAAAAACCAGCACAAATCTTCCTGTCAGTATAAAAATTCTTGTATCTTTTTTTGCATTCCTCCTTATCGGTGATTTTGACAGTAACACCTTTTAGTACCGGACTATCTGTACCTTTCTCTACATCTATGACCCCAAATCCTGAAACAAAAGCAGAAGTACCAGGTTCCCATTCTGTATCAGAAGATGGAAGAGAGACTGGAGATACTTCATCTCCAAATTCTAAAGAATCTTGCAACTCCAAAATAGCAAAATCGTAGTCAAAATTTTTCTCGTTGTAGTCAGGATGTATAAACATTTGTTCCACAAAGACTCTTTGACCTCCAGATTCTGTTATATTAGTACCGGCTCGAACAAACATAAATTTTTCAATGCCAATCCATCTGAAATTAATGCATTATACGAAATCTAAATCAAATTTAAAGTTCTACTAACATTTTAGTGCAGTGAGCTGCAGTGATAATATATTTTTCACCTATTATTGAACCACCACAAAACTGCCCAAAGTTATCAAATTCAAGCTGTACTTGCCAGGGTACTTCAGAAACATCGATATCATCACCACCTATAATTCTATTTTGCGAAAAAACCGATGAAACTAAAAACAATATGAACTATTTTTGTGTTTTAATACCAAAATTACCAGAAAAGATTGTTGTAAGGAAAACAGCAAACAGAAATGATGTCATTTTTGTAAATGTTGATCTTCAGAAAGTAGAGGACTGCAGTAACTGACCCACATCCAAAAACATTAAATTGTAAAATTATGTACATCAATACTGAATAAAATAAATAACAGAAAAGATTTTTCAATTTCCGAGATTCAACCGTGTAATGTATACAGGGTGTTCCGTTTTTATTGTTACAAATTTAAACAGGTCATAGGATATTCAATTCTAAGCCAAAGTTTCCTATAAACATGTATAGAAAAATGCTTGATAAGGGAGCTACACCCCCTGAAAGGGGGCTAATAGGTTTTTGCTAATATTTCAGAAACCATTTAAAATAAAATTACAAAATTTGGTACAGATGATAATCTTTATACACGAATTCAAACATCAAATTTTGGCTCTAGTTTCTTTAGTTATGCATTTACCAAAATGGTGGTCACTTTGAACAACTCCTTTAGATTTAGGCAAATTTATTTAATTAATGTTATTATTGTTACTGTAATGTAATGTTAATTAGTTGAGGTTGATTAAAAAATATGAATTTCTTGCTTTTATTATTCTGTAAATTCTGATTTATTTGAATGTTGTATTGGTGTGTAACATAAATTTTAAATTAATTTTATTCAAAAACAATAAGTCGTATCGACACAAGAGAGACTTTTCTGTGATAAACTATCGAACTTAAGATTTTGTTGCTGAAAGTACCGAGAAACTAAAGCCAAAATAAATAGGGTATTTTTTTACCTTAAACTCCCCCAGTTTCGTACGCCCCTGATTAAAAATTTCGACATTTGATGTTTGAATTCATTTAGGTGTATAAAGGTTATTATCTGTACCAAATTGTGTAATATTATCTTAAATGATTTCTGAAATATTAGCAAAAACATATTAGCCCTCTTCCAGGGGGTGTAGCTCCCTTACCAAGCATTTTTCGATACATGTTTATAGAAAGCTTTTGTCTTAGAATTGAATATCCCATCACCTGTTTAAATTTGTAACAATTAAAACGGAACACCCTGTATAATGTTTTTCGCATAATCGAAATAAAGAAGAAAACAACACGATTATACGAAAAATGTTTCTTTAATTATCACATTATTAGTTTATTTTGAAACTGTTCCAACGCAAATTATATATTGGGATTATTTTCCCTCCTTATACCTATTCCAAGTTTGATTAAATTAAATTTAAATATTGGAAGATTGTACTGTATTTTCTCAAGTTTCTGTACAACTGTAATAAAATACAGTTTTCGAGGACGAATCGTTGCTGAAATACAAGAAGTCCGCAAAAACATTTTAGGTACGTGTTAAAAATATTTTTTTGTTAAAGCTCCCAAAAAACGCACACATCTCTTATTAATTAAAAAAATTTCGCCACCATAGGAACCAAATTGACTTTCTCGTCCTGAAAAACTGTTTTTAAGAACTGAGTACCTAAAACAACCATTTTACGTACTATTTATTGAGTCCGGAATCTATAAAAATTTCGAAATTATGCGGATTTAATTTTTTTTATACGGAAGCGTATACAAAAAACTGAATTTCAAATTTTATTTTTCTACAGTTTTTTAAACCTTATATTAATCTTTTTTTTCAACTAAAGCAACAGACATACAGGATGTTTCAAAACTCGCCTCTAGAAAAAAAGTAAGATAGGAACATGAAAAAAATGTAAAAAAATTCTATCTATAAAAATTTCGAAATTATGGGGGTTTATATTGATCCTATTTATTTCTGTTGGAAAAATAATTTTTCATGTTTTTTGCTGTAGGCTATTTGATGAGAAAACACAGAAGCTGTTTTCTGAATTGTAACTATGTTCAAACTTATTTATGGCATTTATTAGCAAAAATTTTTGTCCCTTTTCTGAATAATTATAAAAAAACATATACAAAATCATCGGTAACATTAAATAAACATAAAAAAGTCAAATGTCAAAATTTTAATTGAGTTTTTTTTTAATTTTGTTTTTCTACATTTTAATTTTTATATCTTCAACTAGTGCCATAGAGATAAGGTAAGAGTGATAAAAGTAACCTGAGTGTTTGTCTCTCGAAAAAGGTCGCTTCACAATTTTAAATAACTAAGAAAATATTGCAGTTTTTTTACTTACTTATTTGAAAAAATGCACATATAAAATTATTGTATGACAAAAAGTGTGCAGCTTACAGGTATTTATACCATTTTTATAAAGTACATTCTTACGTCAAACCCTTATTTGCTTATTTATCTTTAGAGTTTTTTGTTATTTTCATAATTTTATGCTATTTTAGATAATGTTTGTTTGTTTTCGATGTTAATAGTTATTTAAGTAACAAGGAATGTGCAAATGGCCCTCTGTAGACAGTAGTAGATACTCCTATATCAATATTCACTGTAACTATCCTTTATTAAACACAAATTGGTGTTTTACGTAAGTACTTTTAAAATTGTAGATACGTAAATGTATGTACCTTGCACACTTATAATGATAAAATATACTCTTATTCATATTAATGTGCATCAAGTAGGTTGTAGAATTCTAAATGCATTTTTAATTTAAAGGCCGATTCACACAAATAGTGTCACTAATGTCATTCAGAACAAATTTAATCACATCAATAATGACAAAAATCTTTATGTTTGCCACCCTACGCTAATTACGTTGTTAGCTTCGATTATTTTTTGTTTTCTCAAAATCTGGGGTACACATTTTTAGGGAGGGTTGAGGTTAAGGTTGTTTGAATTTTCGCATGGTCTCCAATTTTATTGTGGAAATTCCAAGTCATTTTTTTTTTAATTTTCAAGAAAAATAAAGAGGGGGTTGTGAATAAAGTAGTTAGAAACTTCAGTGGAAAGTCTCATTTCTGTTGAGATATTAGATTATTTTCGAAACTTTCTAAGTTTCCCTTGGTATGTAATGTAATTCATTACTCTATTGTAAATAACTATCAGGTAATTTAGTATTAATTTTGACATTTACTCCCCAGCAGCCCTCAATTTTGAAAAACTTTTTTGTGTCGCAAAAACAGATCATTGAAATGCATAATTTGCTTACGAATAAATCAAATTTAATGTTTTAATTATTAATTTGTTTAATCGCATATGAGAGCACTTTTTGACTTAAATATAACAATAATTGTAAATCACAAATTAAATAATGAAGCTCAGGTTTTTAATCATCAATTGTTTGTCATGGTTACTAATCACAAGTTATCAAATGTATCATCCACGTGCGTACAGTCTGTGCCATTAGTAATGTGACTTTGCCAAAATCAATAATAACACCGAGCAAATTACAACTTGTTTTATTTATAACAATCGATACCAAAGTCTAATTAATTTTTTACGCAAAAACACTTTGATAACATTTTGAAAGCCAAAGGCGCTTAAGCAATTTGGCAAACTTTCAGAAAAACTAATTAACAAATAATATTTTGTTTACCAGTTCAGTATTCTGAGTTTCAAAAACCCGTGTTAATCAATTAATATTGATTAGTCGATAAATGTAGAATTTCAAAATATCCATTTTTTTGTTTTCAAACGAATGTTGGCGTTAAATCGCGGCTAACGCGATCTAGTTCAAGCATTACGATTGAAGTAAACAACTGTATTGATTATTTTATCCTGGTTATTTTATAAGGCAATGACCGCAAGAATTTGAACTTTATATTGTCATTAGTGCATTATGCGTGTGTTAAAATTCCATATTGTAAAACAATTTCACATTTTCTAACAATGTAAACTATGTGTAGACAACCCATTATACAGAATGGTGGAGGGGGAAACCCGCAAATACTCACAGCGGTCGTAGAGTGGGGAAAACATTGACCAACTCACCTAAAACAAAAAAAAAAAACAATTTCAGAAAATATTCAAAAAATGAATTATAAAAATTGCTATTAAAATATCATTAGATACGAGTGATGATAATGATAAAAGAGCACATTTTATGTATACAGGATGTCCCATAGAGCTGGTAAAGTCCATTATTAACCTTTGAATGTTAAAAAATAACGTGTCCCAAAAATACGTTATCATGCAAACTTTTTTTTTTAATGAAGTTGAGTATTTCCACTTACCGTTTTCTTGTTTAACGGCATATTTACCCAAGACAGAAATCATTTATGTTCCAATTCAAATATTTTGAAATTTGACGCTTCAGTTGTGTCAATTATGCCAACCAGTATTACCAAACATATAAAAAGAATCAACGCCTACCCTAATTATAAATTCAAATGATCGCACGGTATTATAAATATTAAAAATTCTATTCGAGTATAAAAAACACAAAACCCAAAAATATTTTTTGTTAATCCGGCGCATCCATCATATACAGACTGTCCGGAAAGTTGCCCAAATAGCCTGTAAATAGCCTAATAAATTTAGAAGAGGAAACAAGAAAGCTGTATTTTAAATTGTAACTCTGTTTAGTGTTATTTGTGGATTTTACAAGCAAAATTTTTGTACCTTTACTAAATAATTATAAAAAAAAACATATACAAGATCAACGTCAAAATATAAAAGTCAAAATTTTTTGACACTCCCTGTCAAGGAAGTGCGCGACTTTCCAGACAACCTGTACGTTCATTATTATTAAAACCCACAACCATTTATAAAATTCATATTAAATTATTGTTATCATAACATCATATCATTTATGTAAAAAAATATCATATTCAAATCACTTTAAATTTCTCAGTCAGTTTCAAGTAACAAAACAATTGAGTTTTAGAAATTTCCAAGATTAGTAAAATAGTAAAAAAAACGTTACTGAAAAAGCTTCCATATTACTTTGTAATGAAATAGTATATTAAAGAACGTGTTTCATAAGGCAAGTTTTGTGGAACGAGTACAGGTTTATGAAACGAGCAGCAGTTTGAAATATTAGAAAAAATTTTCTTACAAAATTTATAAAAAAAAAACAAAATAATTTACACTTGCAGTTAACTTTACCTCGGCATAAAAGTATTATGGCTCTTAACAGCAACGTTTTTCATTGTATTATATTACCATGTTAAAGAAATAAATTTTCAAACTTAAAAAAAAGTCAAAATTTGAAGGTTTAAAGTGTCAAATCTGTCAAAAAGCCGGACGTTAAAAGAAAAGTAGGCTGTTAAAACTTAATAATAGTCGTGTGAGTTACTAGGGTATTATTGACAGCTTTACAATTGTAAATTGTTGAATGTTATTCATACCATAACAATACGGAACGACGACAAATATTCAAATATTATTATTTTGTTTATACTAGGTCAAAAAAAGAACCACATAAAAAAGCTATGATCTAATAAGGATAACGGCAATCTACTTTATATTCAATTTATGTCAAATATTTTTTTTCACAAAAATTGCCATTTCGACAAAAAAATATCACATAACGAAATTTTAATTTCAAAACACAATCACACTTTTTATAGCACCTTAATTTTTATTAATTAATATTTTCTGTAAGTAAAAGATTAAAAAAAAAACGCTTCGTATGTCAAAACTCACGGCCCAGAGAAAAATTTCAAGTAAGATAAAATACTAGGAACATGGAAAAAAGGTTTAAAAAATTCTATCTGTCAAAACATATTGACACTTGACATTTCTTTTGTTTATACTGATGATCTTGTATATGTTTTTTTATAATTATTTAGTAGTAAATGTTCAAAAATTTTGGCAATAAAGGCCACATTATAATATCATACAGAGTTACAATTTAGAATACAGCTTCCTTGTTTCCTGTTCTAATAATTTAACCTCTCATAACTTCGAAATTTTTATAGATAGAATTTTTTAACATTTTTTTCATGTTCCTGGTTTCTTACTTTGTATGGCATTTATCTCTGGGGCGCGAGTTCTGGTGCACCCTGTACAAGTATACTTACATAGTCAGTTTGTATTTATTGTTACAAGTTTTATATTTTACCAATATTACTCTCAAATAATTAATACAATAATACAATAATTAAAACAAAAAATCCAGTATTTATTAATAAGACTTTCTCAGTTGATACAAGACAAGAGCATTCGATACTGCTTTTTGAATCATCTAAAATCGCAAAAAAACACAAAGAAGTAAAATGAAACGACTTACTGATAAAAAAAAACTGTTAGCCAGAGATATTCAGCATAAACAACAGTCTTAGGATGCAAAGAATTTGTCAAAAAAGTCAAATAAATCTTTCGATTTTTAATATTCCAAAAGTACCAAGAACATACACCAAGTATATCAAAAATGCATCCACTCAGAAACAGAACAACTAAAATATAAGAATCGGGATTTTCACCCCAGGAACTGTATTTATAAGATGTTGGCCAGCTAAACTAAAAACACCAATCATTAAAACAACACAAGAACTAATTCCAAAAACTAAAACAACACAAGAACTAATTCCAAAAACTCGAATCTTCAAAATTGGACACATGCCATCCTTGAACTAAAAATCAAAAATGATTTTATGTTAGAAATTTTCATTGTCTTACATTTAACACGAAAAAGAGTACACTGGTGGAGCAAAAAAGACCTAAAGGCATAAAAAAGGCATAGCAATTTTAACGAATCAACCAACTTTGTTATAAACCTGAAAGTTGAATTGGTTAAATTTGACACAAATTAAATTATTTAAACCTTATTAAATTAACGTGTTGTTTAACACAAAAACACAGCTCTTTATAAACCTGTTCTTGGTATAAAGTATTGTATATTTTTTGCCTGTCGGTTAGAAACCTAACATTGTGTGGAATTTCCTCGAGATAATCCTTCAAGAGAAAAACTTGCACTTCCAAGTGCAAAACGCGGTACAAAAGTGTAAACCCAAGTCTAACTCCAGCGTAGCACAAATAAGGAAATCCAGAGAAAAATACAAAAAATAGGGAACAAATGCCAGTTTACCAAAATATTCGTTAAAAACTCGCACACAAAGAAAAAATTCACTGTGATCTACAAAAATCGGTAAATACACAACCATAACCAAACCAACTAGGATTACAATCACCAAATTGGAAATATTAATTATCACGGCTTTTTTGTTGACAATGTTTTGAATTTCCCGAGGAGCCTCATCCAAAGATTACGATATTTCGCAAAGAATTTCGTAAAGCTCAAAAGTGTCTGATTCAAACTTTGTGCAAAATATCATTGCATTTATCTAATAAAAAATGTTAAATTGATAAAATTAAACCCAAAAACTTACGTAACCAGAAATCACAAGAATTGTGCTGTATCGTGTAATCAAGACTAAAATGGGTAAATAAATAGTAAATCTGCAGAAAGTAACACATCAAATGAAAAACTATTGAAAAATTGTTGTAATATTTAGTGATTTTCCAGTAGCCAAAATCAATAAAAATTCGTTTCAGCAGAATGAAACGATCGTTTGAATCTAAAAACAGGGTTTATTAACAAAGAATAATTTTGATATTTACCGTTAAGACGTTGTGGTATCTTTTTCTCAACTTATTATCAAAATTATTATCCAAAATTAATTAATTATTATCCAAAAATGATTTTCGATGAAATGGCAATTACATTGATCTTCTAATTTTATTTGCTGGTAATTAACTTAAAAACTTTTACACAGGTTGTTAATTCCAATTTAATAAATTATTTTTTGTGAAACAAAATAGCCACTTTATTTTTACATAACTACTATGTTATTATCTAAATAGTAATAGTTAAAATTTCTTTTAATTAGTAAAGTACAAATTTTGATGTTAGCTTTCCCGGCGCATCCACCAATTATTTATCCCATATAATGTCAAAACTAATTTTCAACAAATACTGTTAAAAATATTTTTTCAATTTAACATTTCACAATTCTAAAACCTCATTAAAAGTCTTGGGAAACTTCTCTAATCAAGTTATCGCAATTTTTAATTTTCATTACAATTTCTTGCATAATAATCCATTCTTCATTACAAATTTCACATTTCTTGCCATTTAATCAAATTTGATGTCTTTAATAAAAAACAAAAACTGTAACAATACAGCGCTCAAGAATATTTAAATAGAATATTAAGGAATTAAAAACAGTTAACTACAAAGTTGAAGACATTTTTAAATAATAAATGAAAATTTGAAACCATACATTAAAAGCTAAAGCTATTTGTTATTCGATCAACTAAAAATTCAATAATTCAATTCATAGAGTGCTTAGAATTTTTAGCAGTTTAATTATCACTTTTATTACGATTATGTTTTTTATTTTTTATTTATAGTGGAGATTCTTAACAGTCACTTTTTCTCCCATTGTGTTAAAAATCGGTCACCTATTTTTATATATAAATGACAGTCAGTGTTTTTTTAATTATTTTTATTAGTAAATGTTTATTTAATATAGCAAGTAAACGTTTCCTGGAAAAAGTTTACGGCATGATAAAACTAATTCAAATGAATATTTGTAGTTTTTAAACATTTAGAACTTCATTAAAGTAAAAACATCAAAAGAATGGCTTGATAAAAATCACCAGTAGGCTTAATAAATAAGTAATAAATTTCATTCTATATAAAAAAGGATTGCTATTTTATAAGTTAGTAAAAAATGTCAACCGAAAGCGAAATGCTACAAAATCTTCCTTACTATTATTTGTTGAAAATTGGTATTGTTTTCGGATATTCTAAAATAGTCAAACTTGTCAATATTCTTGGCATAATAATTAATTCATCCACTATATTATTACAAGTATATTACATAAAACAGAATTTTAGTAAAGAGCTAATTTTAAAATACGGATGTGGAATATTATTGACAATTTATGTAAGTACCTTAAAAAAACCAAATGTACAGGGTGTAACAGTTATATGTGATTAGTGACCAAATTTTATAAAAAAATTGAAATATTTTTTCTTATTCTTAATCATAGTTTTTGATTAGTAACTTATTCTAATTTTATAATTATAAATTAATTTTCTCAGTATACATTTAAGTTTTTATAGTAAAACTCAATAACTTACTTCTGATAAAACCTATATAACGGGTGTTTTTTTTTTAATTTGGCGTTGAAAGTTTGACTGTGAACAAACTATCATATTGAAAGTTAGTAATAAAAAATTTGGTCATATCACTAAAAAAATAAACACCCGTTATAAACGTTTATTTAATATACAATAAGGTTTATATGCTTGTAGACAATAGCATCACTGTTGATTGAATTTCTGATTGAAAAAGACGTAAAAAAATTGCTTAATGAAGCAACTCGTTTAATGTGGGCAATAGATTTTTGTGGTTCAAAAGTCGAAAAATTAATCCTCAAACGTGTTACAGTTATAAATAATATTATTTATTTTATGTCTGCATGGTTTGTCGTCATGGGTATTATCATGCTTCCGATMTGGGGAGATCACAGTGAATGGTTTTTATGTGATGTGATTTTTAACGAAAATTTCGAGACTAAGGGGAAAATTCTTTATTACCTCTCCAGCTGCATCAGCTTTCCATTAGTTGCATTCTCAAGTATGCGATTACCGGGGATTTTATTATGCACAATTTTACAAACACATATGCAAATCATTTTAATTAATCAAAAACTTGTTCAAATTTCTGAAGACGTAGGCAGTTTAGACAACATAAGGATAGTGGAAGATAAATCTTATCAGAAAAAAATTTATAAAGACTTGCGTTTGTGTATTTCACACCATGTCGAGATAAAGAGGTACATGCGTTCAAAATTTGGGATTTTGTGTTTAAATATTTGTTGCAGATGGCTTAAAAAAATTCTTAAACTAGTACAACCAATATTTCCGGTGTATGTTATCTTGGGATCTTTAAATTTTATATCACTCTTGTTTTTCGCAGTCTATGTAAGTTTTTTCTAATTATTTCTTCTAACTAAAAAAACTCACATTTAAGGGTTTGCATAATACTAGTTATCTCCTCAAAGCTCGTGGGTGTGTCGTTTTAATTATTTGTTGCTTTGTTTTATGCATGTATGCTAAAGCTGGCCAAGCACTGAGTGATGAAGTAAGTACATAATTTTTTTTTAATTTTTCAAAAAATTGTGTTTTAGACAAGTCGTGTTTTTGATACGTTGATGACTTGTCCCTGGTATCTGTGGGATCAAAAAAATAAAAAAGCTTTAACAATTTTTCTTTCCAACTCTTTTCAACCTGCTACTATAACAATAGCTGGCATGACCTTAAATTACGATTTTGCTGTTGATGTAAGTAAATAATTATTATTAGGGTCATTCCAAACATTGCAGTCGAGTTTCAGTTGCTGAAAACTAGTACTTCGTATGCTCTTGTGCTTTACAACATGAAAAATTAAAATTTTGCTGCAATCTTTCACCTCTTCATAATGTTTAATACTAAATAAAACTAAATAATTTATATCACCTAAATAATTCCTTGTCAATTGATAGGTTTATTTTAATAACACTCTGTATATTTACTGCAAGAAGTTTTTTAATAATTTTTAAATTAAATTTTATCAATTTAAAATTTAATTTAATTTTTGTTTTCTTTTCTTAATTTTTGTATCGGCTTTGGTTTTAAAGTAAAAAATGCTTAAAGTAATTTGTGCCGTAATGTCAGCAATAATTTGACTTTTTTTGACAGAAAAATCATCACAAAAGGTAAATTGCAAAATTTATAACATAAAAAATAATTTTTTTGTAGTTGCTTAGCCCGGCGCATCCACCAATCCAAACACAAAACATAATTCACCACAAATATTGTTAGAGGTCGTTTTTTATATAATATTTTCCCTACTCCCACACTTTAATTGATTCGTTAAATAAAAAGTTGTGTAAAAATGTGTGAAAGCGATACAAAAATAGAGAACTTAATTCTACACAAATTTACACTTTTTGGTTATTGAATAATGACCTCATCGACATTTTTTTAAATGGAACCCCCAATTTTTTGGCCAATTTGATTGAACTTTTAATTGTCGAAATGACAACACCAAAAAAGTTTTCGAAAAAAACTCTGAAACATTTCAACAAAAAACAAACATGCAATTTTAAATCAAGTTGATAATTTTGTATTTAAAAAAAATATTTTTAGTTTTAATAAAAAAGATTATTCCACCGCTCGCTGTATTTCACAATTTTCCTAGTATAAAATGTCTAAGAAAAACAATTTCCTAAAAAACTTCCTTAATCGTACCATTAAGCGCAATTTTTTATTTATTTTGGAATTTTCAAAAATTACACAAATTCTTGCACAATAATAAATTATTCATCTTCATTACATACGAATGTTAATTATGCATAAAAAAAATCTGCTATATTCATAGACCATAACATTAGAGCTCAATAATTTTTAAATAATAAATTAAGTAATTAAAGAGAGTTAATGGCAAGGTTGAAGTAATTTTTAAATAATTAATCTAAGACTAAAATCAGACATTAAAGAGCTAAAAGTAATTTTTTTTAATTCAATCACTTAAACACAGTGTTTTTAATTTTTATTCAATTTTTTGGCTTCTGTTTACCATAACAACATTGATTATTTATTACTTATTTGATAAAATTACAAAATTTGGTACAGATGACAACCCGTATCCACCTAAACGAATTCAAAGATAAAATGTTAAAATTTTTAATCAGGGGCTTCGTAAATTGAGTAGGTTTAGGGTAAAAAGTACTCTATTTATTTTGGCTGTAGTTTCTTGCCACTTTCAGCAACAAAATTCTAAATTTCATAGTCTTTTTCCCATACACTTACCGATTTTGGGTAAAATCAGTTTTAAAATTTATGTTATAGACCATAAACAGCATAAAAATTAAATTTGTTTTACCATTTAAGACGCTCCTGATTAAAAATTTTGACATTTCATTTTGAAATTCGTTTAGGTGTATAAAGGTTATACCAAATTACGTAGTTTTATCTATTCTGAAATAGCACTTTTCAAAACATGTTTATAGGAAACTTTTGTCTTAAAATTGAATATTTTATCATCTATTTAGATTTGTAAATAAAAACGGAACACCCTGTACATTGTCATTTTGGACACTTTGCATAGTTAATGTAACAACTAAATTTTTCTTACAACTCGACTAAAATTATTTCATATGAATATTCGTAGTTTTTAAACATTTAGAACCGTTCATTAAGGTGGAAACATTAAAAGAGTGGCTTGATTATAGTCACCAGAATTTTTATAAATAAGTAATAAATTTCATTCTATATAAAAAAAGCATTGTGTTTCTCTAGTTAGTACTTATGAAATGTCTACTGAAAGCGAACTTCTAAAAATCTTTCCGTATTATTATTTGTTGAAAATTTGCATTGTTCTCGGATATTCTAAAATAGTAAAACTTGTTAATATTTTTTGCATAATAATTAATTTGTCCGTTATATTACTACAAGCATATTACATAAAGCAGAATTTTAGTACAGAGCTAATTTTAAAATACGGATGTGGAATATTTTTAATGATTTATGTAAGTATCTCAAATACAGGATATAACATAACAGAAGTTGCAGAATTTTTTAAATTACAAGTTTTTTTAAGATTCATGAATTAAAACCCATTTCTGTAGCACCTGTAATATTTTTTTAAGCTTTTTGTGCTTGTAGATGACAGCATCAATGTCGGTTGAATTCTTGATTGAAAACAAAGCTAAAAAATTGCTTAATGAAGCAACTCGTTTAATGTGGGCAATAGATTTTTGTGGTTCAAAAGTCGAAAAATTAATCCTCAAACGTGTTACAGTTAT